TTGCTTGTGTGATGAGCCAAGAGACGGCTTGAAGCGTTGTAGGCATACGGAATCTTCCGAATTGAGATCTAAGAGTGTTCAAGTCGACTTGGCTGTGTGAGCACTAAGATGCCAACGAGGGATATCCATTCGTATTGTACCATTACGTTAGATTACTGGACAAGGTGACCGAATAGAGATGACCGTGAAATCAAAATGTGTCCGAAAAAAGGAAACGAGATGGGCGTTTCGGTAACACCGATTTGGCTCAATATCCGTGTCCTAGACTTTGGGCCCCACAACTGTTCCCTCCACAAGCGTATGTAGTATGGAAGTAAGTATGGAATAGGGGTCCGTTTTTGGGGGGGTAGCAATGTGGGTGCAGCTAAGTTGTGGGCAGCTTGGCAAAGTGAGTGCACCCACATGTCCCGCCCGCTCTTGGTTCCCAAGAGATTCCGCAGCGAGGCCCAAGACATGCGACAGACGTCAACAGACCTATGCGCGTCCATGGCGCTCGTCATTGTGCCGTGGTACGTGTTGCGGTAGGCACGTGGCGGTGCGGTTTGGCATACGAAAGTGGCTGATTTGCTCAACAAGACGTGCCATCCACTCGGTCCAGCGGCATTTCGTCCAGGAGGCGAGCAGGGCGAGAGCGCATGTGGCTGAGAATTGGATATGGTGCCAAGATGTGGCGTATGCAATGGACGCGGCGAGCTTTACACCGACCTGAGAGAGTGCGACGTATATTTACCCCGAGCGCCCACTATACGGTGCAGATCGAGCGGTATGTCAGATCGAAGCAACGGTCTGCTCGAGAGTGTCAGTAAATGATGTCGCGGCGATACCCTGAGACGGGGCTAGCAAACGCTGGTCCAAGCTGGCACAGCCATGATGCCAATACCCTCAAAAAATCTGGGCACTCTTGGCTGGAACAATTGCCAAGTGGGGAGCGGAATCCCGCTCGCATATTAGCAATATCGACTCTCATGGACCAACTGATAATCAAAGTCGGCCTCTCCATGCTTGCTGGTTGGCACATGGACGGATGGATGGATGAACGAATGCAATGTAGTGTAATGCAGGGAGTATTTTGCCCAATCAAGGACGCGGTGCACGATTGCGGCTGCTCAGGTCGAAAGGCGCCGAACGACGTCAGCCGACCTAGAAGAGGCAGCTCGAGTTTGGAGTGAGAATGGGGGTTAGAGAGCTGGAGAGCGAGAGCTAGGTTTGCGTGAAGCGGACCCAGGGCCGAAAGTAAGTACTTAGTCAATTGCTAGTGAGCCATGGCTGTCAAGGCGACTGGGACGGCGGTCGTGGCGACGGCGTGGTTTCGAAGCGTCAGAGTTACGTGACACAATGCTGGGATGTGGGCGGAGAGGGCAGAGGGCAAAGGGCTACAGAAGGCTACATGTGGGCACGAAAGCAGGTAATCAGTCAAGCAAGCAGGTGTGGCCGCCTTAGCCAGTGCGATCCCTGAGGGGCTGCTTTGGCCGCCTTCACTCTGGCTGCTGCCAGACCTGTTTTGTCGACGAGGATGGCGGGGGCATCCGGCAGACAAGAGTCGCCACTGCAGGCACGCGGCCTTTGCCGATGATGGATCAGACAGAGCGTGTGTGGGTGTGTGTGGCCGGACAAGAATTTCCGCTATGGCCCAAGAACTCCGCCTTCGCTGGGCAGGCAGCAGACGGCAGCGACGGGCGTGGCAGCACGTCACAACAGCAGGGAGACTCGCAGCGTGTGAAGAGGCGGGCGGGCGTGTTTTGCAGCGGCAGGCAGAGGCAGAGGCAGAGGCAGCCAGGGCGCAGCGAGTGAAGACGACGGGCTACGGGGAAACTGCCTGTCGGCGCGCGATGGTGAAAGCGAAAGCGCGCAACCCCCCTCCCCCCTTCCCCCCAGCTCGCAGCAGGAGGGCCGGGTGCTGGGAAGGGTCGCGAGAAGGGCATGGCATGGCACGGTATGGTGGGCTGGGTGTGTCGGCGTAGCTGTCGCCCCAATGGCCAATGCCAGCACGCGCCGATTCGTCGCTGAGGGGTTTTTGGGATGCGTCCGATGCGACCGGCTTATTAGGCCAAGGTCCAAGCGCGCACTAGCGCGGCAGTCTAAAACTTGGCCCCAAGAAAATTGGCAGGAGCAGGGTGTGACCAGCTCCGCTCCGAGCACTGCCCAGTCCCCTACATCAGACGCTCAGCGCCCCCCTCCCCCCGCGAAATCCATCTTGCTTGTCTCGGCGCTCTTCTCTCTCTTCTTATTCCTGGCCTCCAAGCACGCGCTTTGCCCCCCGCAATTTGGTCACGTCCACTCTGTTCAAGCACCGCCGACTGCAGCCCTGCCTGTCCAGACGCTTTGTCGTCTGATTTTCTTCTTCTTCCCTCGTCTTCCCCTTCTTCTCTCCACTTCCAAGCACTCGACAACAACTCTACCACTCCCTGCCAAGAATGAGCGACGTACAGAACGCCGTACCCGCGGCGGCCACCACACCGCAACAGCAGCCTCAGGGCACCCCCATCCAGCAAAATGCCCCAACGCCCGCCTCAGTCGCTGGCGCTGGCTCTGGCGACCAGCTAGTCTGCCAGTGGCAGAACTGCGGCGACCGCCTGCCATCCGCCGAGCAGCTCTATGTAAGTAATGCTCGTCTTGTCCTAAACACCTACCCTTGGAGCGCCTGCAGCATCTCCCTCCTGCAGTGTGCTGACCATCGACCAGGACCACGTTTGTGAGCGTCACGTTGGCCGCAAGAGCACCAACAACCTCAACTTGACGTGCCAGTGGGGCAATTGCCGCACAACTACCGTCAAGCGTGACCACATTACCTCTCACATCCGTGTTCACGTGCCCCTGAAGCCACACAAGTGCGACTTCTGCGGCAAGGCCTTCAAGCGCCCCCAGGATCTCAAGAAGCACGTCAAGACTCACGCCGACGACTCTGTCCTGCTCCGCTCACCAGAGCCAAACCGAGGCGGCGCCCACGGCGCTCAAGGCTACCCGGGCCAGAACGGTAAACGTAAGTCCTCCTCACCTGACTTGTCCCCAAGCACATCTATCTTCTTGGAATTGTCTTCCGCCCCCCCCCCCCCCCATCCCCTTTCAATATCTAACAGACGGCTACAGTGGTCGCTGACTTGCAGGCGCTTGCCGCTACAGCGAGTGGATATCAATATCCCGATGGTGCTCTTGGCCCCAATGGAGGCTACGGCCAACAACATCCCGGTGGTGCTCCAGCTGGCTTCTATGGAGGCCCACCCCAGAACTCTGCCTATGGACCAGTTTACTATGCAGTCAACCAATCTCAGCAGCTCAACAATGACTACGAGATCAGGAAGCGTGCTGCTTATGATGCTCTCAACGAGTTCTTTGGAGATGCCAAGCGTCGTGCAATCGACCCTACCACTTACTACGACGTTGGCCAGCGGCTCATGGGTCTGCAGGGTGTTCAGCTCCCAGTTCTCGGCGGCGGCGGTTACCAGGGCGGCATGGGTGAGTACGGCCATGGAGGCACCATGGTTGCTCAGGGACAGCACCCACCCATGCACCACCCCTACTCTCTGCCACTACCCAACCTCAGGACCAAGAGCGATCTTTTGAACATTGATCAATTCCTTGAGCAGTTGCAGAGCACCGTCTATGAGAACCCTAACCACGCTGCCGCAGCTGGTGTTGCTCACCCTGGCCACTACATCCACACTGGTGCTGGTTACCGCTCCAGCAACTCACCACCTGGCCTCTCTTCTAGCCACTCGCAATCCTCCCACACCACTGCTATTGGATCTACTAGCGTCGAAACTCCAGCCTTGACCCCCGCATCCAGTGTTCTGTCCTACGGCTCTCAGCACTCGCCTGGCGCCTCGCACTCCAGCGGAGTTTCCCCCACATCAAGGAACTCGATCGGTAGCATGTACCCTACTCTCCCATCTGTTAGCGCCATGTCGGACATGTCCGCTGCAGCTCCATCATCAGGACTTGCCCCAGCTTTCGACACCGACAACCGTCGACGATTCTCTGGCAACCTTCTGCAGAAGGCTGCCCCAGATCGATCCGAGAGCTCCATGGATACCTCAAGCGACATCGGTTCTCCCAAGGATTCTGAGCACGATAGCCTTCACCACAACGTTAACCAGCTGGCTCTCCACTCTCCCAAGGTTGATCCTGCTCTTCGCTCGCCAAGCGTGTCTTCATCCACCACCGAGCAGGGCGACTCATCTCAACAATCCTGGGTTGAGAATATCCGTGTAATTGAGAGACTCCGTGCTTACCTCAAGGAAAGGCTCGAGGCGCACGACTTCTCCGACGACGAGGAAGACGTCAAGCACGACGAGGAGCGCCGCATGAGCGATGACGATGCTCACAACCTTTACCCAGTCTTGCGCGCTGTGCAAGAAGGACGGGAATAGGTCTGACGTGGCTCAGAAAGGTTCATGATGCTTTGCGGAGTTTAGGCTGGGAGATTGGCGTCAAGGCGTTCGTGAGGAACCACTACCGGTCGAGGAATAGGCTCAGGGTACTTTGTTAACACGGCCATGTCTTGCTTCTGTTCTTTGTATGGTCACTACTAGGGAAAATGTCTTTTACGACCGATTTGTTGAGTTATACATTAGTTAGCCATGGAGGGCGAATTTCATATGTTTCAATCTGCTAGCATTTGCTCCATAAGTCTACATCTTTGCTTGGTAGTTGACCCTTGCCAACCTTTGCTCTGTGCTGTGTAGCTGCTTGGTATGCTTCTTTATCGTTCGCCAAGCCCACGGCCCATGTGCCATGTGTAATCGGCCTTAATCCCCCACACTGATACCCGATACCAACCGTCATCTTTCCCCACGTTCCTATCTGTCCAGAACGCCGGGTGCTTATAATTATAGTTTTACGCGACCCACTCGGAGCCGCGTGCCATGCATTGCGGCATGTGAGCTTTGGTCTCTTTGCTTTCTTCCCCGTTAACTAGCCATCACACGCACGCTTGCCTTATCCAGCAGAGCGACATACCGTCTTCATCTACAACAAAAACCAGTCTTGTACATCAAGAAATCATGGCATACGGGCGAGGAGGTGCGGGTAATTATTATGCAGCTAAGGAGGAGAGCAAGAAGGCTGCCGAGGTGGGTGCCTGCATAAGCTCTGCGATCTAGGCATTACGCCCAAGTTGACATTGTACTATCCAGGACATTGAGGCAAACCACTCTGGTTCATCTGTCGCACAAGCTTCTCACTCTCCCGCCACAGCGCAGCCCTCTAATGCATCACAAAGTTATGCACACATGGGCCGTGGCGGGGCGGGCAATTGGTACCAGCCTACTGAATTGCAGAAAGATGGCACCTTCACTCAACCTGGCGACTCCACTGCTATACCTACATCTCCTATCCCACAGGTTAGCACACCATGGCATCCCGAGGGCCAGGAACTGCCTATTGCGAGGAGCGGAAGAGGTGGGGCAGGCAATTTTGTGTGGAAGAGCGAAGAGGAGGGAAAGAAAGAAAGAGAGGTCGAAGAGGCCACCAAAGAAGGATTGCGAGAGCAGGTAGAAAGGAGTGTTGAAGCAGAGTTGGCCAAGCCACCTGGTGCACTGCTTGGCAACAAGCCTGAGAAGGGCTGGTAATGGGTCCAGGTACAAGGACTTGACGTAGAGCTCATCGCGTAGTGAGACAGCATCTATATGAATAGCTTGTCCAGATCTCCTTCGATAAGAAAGCACTCAACTTCGAGACACTCTTTGCGCTTGATTCCAATGATGACGGCTGCACGCGTCTGACAGCTGCAGCTGCAACTAACAACCTGTGGACAAAAGCCATCACGTCCGAAATCTGTATCACAAAGTACTCATGTCCCTCTCCCTCACCTTTTGAATGTGACTAAACTCGACCAAGAAAGCCACATCATGACGTCGTGTCCTATTATGGAAAAACACGGTCCGTGCACTTTGTTTATCGACGCCCTAGCCGATTTACTCCCACATCCCGTATCCCGTCTCTCCCCACCCACAGACCATCTTCGTTCTCCACCCTCAACTCCCTTGTCCATTCAAGCTTCACAATTGCTTGAACACTCAGCGCAACATGGCGCGTCGCTCTGCTCGTCTCTTGAAGGTATGCATCTCTATCTTGATGTTGCCCCCTGGGCTGTTTGTTTACATCTGCTGACCTGTTCTCCTTCCACAGCGCGAGGCCACGCCTGATGGCTCAACAAAGCCCAACGACAGCCGGCACAACGCGTCCCCTGCAGACCTAGGACTTCCAGATCTCCCTGAGCTCCCAGAACCAGGCACGGCGACCCCGTCGCAGTCAAAGCCCTCTGAGGGCGTCCAGCCTACGTCGCAGCCGGCGCAAGTACCAGCTATGGCGACCCCTACGCCCCATAAGAATAGCTTGACCAAGCTGCCCGTTGCAGCTACGGAGATTCGCACGCCCAAGGACCGTACCACTATCAAGCCTGCAGGTCAGGAAATGCACCCGGTGCATCATCATGCGAGCACGGCCAAGGTTTTGGATGAGGCGCGTTGGCTAGGGTTCCAGTCTCTGGGCGCGCACACTGCACCACCAAAGGTAGCTGGTCTGGCGGCAGGCCAGGCTACTCCTTCCAAAACTCCTGTACCCACTACTACAGGCTTGACCTCAAACATCGAGTCTTCGCCGGATTTCCGCTTTCGGTTCAAGTCTCCTGTGCTCGAGGGCCCCAAACCAGACGAAGCCGGATTGAGCCCAAGCTCGCGCAACATCTTGAAGAGTGCTGGTATTACAGGTACCCCTGGTGCCGGCAGCCGTGCCTTGTTTGGTATGCGATAATGTAAACTTGTGCACGCCTTTCATTCTAACCACTCGACAGGTACTAGCGAGTGGTCTTCCAAAGCCGATGTGTCACCCCAACGCAAAAAGGCAGAAGCCAAGGGCAAGCTGGCCCGCTTCAGCGATGTGCATATGAAGCAGTTCAAGAACATGGATTCGATCGCTAACCACCCTTCTGCATTCCGTGCCGACCCATCTCGTTTCAAACCTGTTATTGGCCAGCCGCTTAAGAAATCGCCTTCAAAGCCAGAACTTTCGAATCCTGAGACAAACAGACTCAAGCGCACACAGTCCAAGACTGATATTGCAGAATCGAGCACAACTCCTAATAGTAGTCTGAAGCGCACGCAGTCCAAGTCGACCACGACAGGTTCTGGAAGCAACGTTCCGCCAACGCCATTGAAGCGTACACTATCTAAGATGGATCTTGCCGGCCCCAGCGTGCCACGTTCTGAGCCTGCGCGTCGCATGGCGCCCCCGAACCGCGACGGTCGTCCCGCCTCACGAGATGGCGAAAGCAGTCGTAACCCAACATCAAAGCGTGTCAAACGCACCGAGTCTGACGATGCTGCGACTACCCGTCCCGAATCTCATGAAAAGAACTCTGAAGATTCTACGCCTGCGATTGCAACTCCAGCGCGCAGGATCACGTCTCAAACTGCGCTTCCCCGTCTGGCCGCCCGCTTGATGACGCCCACCAGGTCGTCGGCCGCCCGTTCACAAAGCGTTAAGACTCTGAAGACCACCTCGATGATTTCAACCTTTGGTAAATTACCTTCTACAGTCAAAATAGCCAAGTCAGCGTCTACAGATCAGTCATCGTCTCCATCCAGCAAGCTTAGTCAGATACGGGCTGCAAGGGATGGTGCAAGAGAAGGTCTGCGTAAGGTATGTAGCCACACTAAATATCATCAGAATGTTACTAATATTGTGTAGGCAAGTCACAACCTTCAGCTTGTTCGCTCCATTCTTCGTACTCCCAACCGCAAGTACTCGAATGACCCCAACAAGGTCGCAGCAGGCACACACTTGTCTCCCCCGGTGTCTTCGAACTTGGACAATGCTCTAACCGCTGTTCCAGCTACGGCTCCAGTGAAGAAGCACGTCAATTTCTCTAGTAGTACTCTGGAGCGAGCTTCGCACGAAGAACTGGGCAAGTCGCCATCGCCAATGAAGTTTGGCGCGGGCAGTGAGGTCCCCACCGGTGCCGTGATATATCCCAACTTGAGCGCTGTCGTCAACAATCTGGAGCTGTCCAAAGATGCCGAAACCTTGAAAGGTTCTCCATCACGGCGTCTCGTATTCGGGGGCGAGGCCCCCAACCATCCGCGCTCTTTTTCGTTTGAGTCTGGGAAGTCTGTCAACTTTGGTACGTTTTATCGATCTGAGTTGATTGGGTCTATTTTGCTGATATTCTTCCAGGCCCTGCATCAGCCGGCACGATCCGCATGGTCCGCAACAGCGACACTTCGTCGCGTGCCGAAGGCAGCAAGCGCAAGCTAGAAACCTTGCAGGAGAACTCTGACAAGGAAAACGACGGCCCTGCCGAAGAGGAGACGCGCTCGTCCAAGAAAGTCAAGCATGCGTCTGCACCTACTCCAAAGACTCCCGCTCGCACCAACAAGCTGCCACGTCAGACCCCAGGAAGCCGATCTACTACCATTAGCAAATCGAGACTAGAATTTCTAGCCACGCCCAAGCGGAGCAAGGTCTAACCATGAATTCTTTTGGACGCCACTTGTTTGCCCTTCCAATTTTGCTGCTTCTTGGCGTTCTGCATGGGGATTCAATCCACCAATACGACTTATGAAACTTTCCTAATTTCACGAAATCGGTGTCTTTTTACATGTCACTGGAGCTGGGCGTAATAATTGGTGTTTTTTTTTTGCGTAGGATATGAGCAGTCCGGATCTGTTCATCGGTTTCTAGAATCTCATGTGTCCAATGGGCATTGCATACAGCGAAACCGGTCTCGATGTTCAAGCTTAGCTTGTGTAACATATACTGAATTGAAAATTGCGTGTTCATATTAAACGTGTTCAATTGCCGCGAATCTGCTTTGTCTTGTTGACGTGGTTCCACATCACGTGTAGAAGTGCTCGTGGTGTTGACTAAGCTGTATGCCCGGTCTCGTGCGCAGCCTAGTCGGACCTTTTCTTAGTGCGACGTCACTTCGCTAATACGTTTGGCCGATCGACGCAGACGAGCGGTTCCGACCGCTCATAGTAGCCCCCACTGCACACACAAGGACTTTCCAACTACTTACTACGTCATCTGAGTACGCGCGGACACATCACGCCTTGCTAACTAGCAGGGCGCCTCACTCGACCACCGTGGCGTCGCTGAACACCCTAGTCGACGAATTGAAGAAGTCCTTCAATTTCTTCAACAGCAGCTCTTTTCTAGGCGACAACGTAGCTTCTTCACACGATACCGAGCATCAGTCTACAGACGCGCTATCGAAGGCTATCCGCTTCCTGCAGAATCGTGGCCTGAGCGATATTACCGAGATCGTCCTGAACCCTCGCTTTGACGATCCGACCTACCTTGTCACAGTTGCTATTGCACTGGCCTCCATTATTGTGGGCATGTCTTGGTTCTCACGCGCTGGTGGGAGCTGGGGAGGGCGTTTTTCGCCATTTGGCCGCCCTGGCAACTCGCCCAATGCTGGCGTTGTAAACGACTCCGATTTCTCGTACATCACAAACGAAGATTTGCGTCGGAATGGACAGGCATCAACACCTGAAATTGTAGACTGGGATGACAAGAACCCGGAGCGAGAAACAGATGTGCTCATCTTCAAGCATGGACGAACCCACTATCCTACACATTTCCCGGCGCACAGCATACGTGATGGAGACCTCAAGATCGGTACGATACGACAGGCCGCGGCGAAGAAGTTGGGCGTCGATGACTACAGGAAGATACGTATGTTCTACAAGGGCAGGAATTTGAAGCACGATGAGCGGGCAGGGCGGGAAGAAGGGCTACGTGGCGATGGCAGTGGTAGTGAGATTCTAGTCACAGTAGGCGAGGCACCTATCGGCGGTCACGGTGCTGCTTCAGAAGAAGCACCACCGCGCGCCTGGAGCGAGGGTGAAGAGGATGATGACGACGATGACGACTCCGGCGTAAATACATCCGGCAAAAAGAAGTCTCGCAAGCGTGGCGGCAGAAAGAGCAAGAAGAAGGGGGGTGTCTCCTCCGGCAACGCATCCGGAACTTCGACACCTGGCTACACCACCGCCGGAGCTGGCGCCGAATACCTCCCCATCCCTTCCCACATCAACGCCGCACCCCGCCCTACCTCTGCGCCCCCACAAAACACCTCCAAGCCCGCCCAACCTCAAACCCCCATGGGCAAACTCGACGCCGTCGCCAGCAAGTTTCACACCGAGCTCGTCCCGCTGTGCATACAGTTCATGTCGAACCCGCCCGAAGAAAAGGCGAAAAAGACGTTTGAGTACAAGAAGTTGAGCGAGACTATCCTCACGCAAATTATTTTCAAGCTCGATGGCGTGGATACTGAGGGTGATCCCGATGCGAGGGTTAAGCGGAAGGCGCTGGTCAAGGAGGTACAGGCTATGATGGCCAAGTTGGATGAGGTAGGGAAGGAATAATGGAGTTTGTGTTAGAGTGGGGAGTGTTTTCTTTCTTTTTAATAGAGTGAGGAGATTAGTAGATGAATATAATATGTTCTTTCCTCTTTTTAAAAAATGGATATGGAGATTCTAATTGTGTGTATGTATTTTTTTTATGTGTGAATTAAAGTGGGAGTAATGACGGTGGTGTGAGTTTGAGAGAAGAGACTCTATATCGCTGACGATGTATTGAGGGTAAGGTCTTCTTTCCTACGATTGAACATTTTCTTTATCTCTACGAGTCTCAAAGTATCTCCGAGGGAAGGGTCTCTCTCTCTCTCTCATCTATTCATTCAATTCTCCACATCTAGTCTACTCTTTTTTTTTCCCAATAGGATTGGGGAAAGGGAATTTTTTTTAGGTCTTGGTGCCTAGGAAGCTTTTTCTTGGAGTTTTCTTCCATTGTGTGACTACTACGTATCTCTTTTTTCTTTTTTCGAGAATTCTCTCTCTCTCTCTCTCTCTCTCTCTCTCTCTCTATCGTATCCGAGTTCACGTTAGGTGGCATACTACATAACTCTAATAAAGAGAAATCTTCAATCCAATCACATTGGGAATGGGAAGTCATGTATGCTTTGGTACAAGATTGTTGTTGAATTGAAAATTAGGCTTAGTTTTGTTTCTTGCATCGCGTTGGTATATCTTCTTCTTCTTTTTAGAAACAAAAAACGGGTGGGAAAGTGTAGCAGAAATCCTATATTGTGCTCTGCGTTTCGAAATTTGGGTATTATGTATCTTCTTGGAAATCCTCGTGTGACTGGGTAGAGTGGGTGGTGTGGAGATTGTTAAAGTAGGTCACGGTAGGTGTATTGGTTGAGGAGGGGGGTAAATTGGTAAGATGGAGTTTAGAAGAATACTTTGGGTTCGAATTAAGCTGGGTGAAGTTAATTGAAATTGGCAGTCGCTTGTGATGACTTGTGCCTAGAGTGACAGTTGCGTTGGAGCAAAGCGATGGCAGGTGCGTTATTATACTATACTTTGGAATATCCTTTAGTCATAGCTGCAATATTTTCCCTGTGAATCTTTTTGTGCCCATGTTGATTGCATATCGAGAGTCTTGTCTTCACTAGAATTCGGGTGTGTGTGTGAGAGAGAGAGAGAGAGAGTAGGATGTGAGGTCGGACGTAGTAGGCAGAGAGGACCTGAATTGAGAAAGCAGACCGTTTTTTGATACTCATAAGAAAAGACGATTGCCAATGTATTGACAAGAATTCTAGGAAATGTTGCCAGTGGCGCATATTAAGGAATTTTACGTCAAACGGATGCACTGCTACTGAGATCAATCCCTCGACCGGAAACTTCTCATCAGGGCGTGGTAATAAGGTAACGACTGTTGTTATTGATTCTAGCCTTGAGTAACGTCTCTCTGGATCAGACTGCCATCTATCCCATGTTATTGCGGTATTTAAGAAATGAACAAGAACGATACTAGATGCTTGCGTATTTAGATTGATTGGCTCGTCCTATAGCACAGAGGTCGAAAAGAAAACAATACGAAAGCACATGTCACTCCAACGGCACAACTACTATTTACTTCAAGTGTTCGAGTCTGTACAAGTCAAATGCAGCCACTGACATACCCGATAATAAAACTTACAGCAATCATATGACAACAAGGGTAGTCCATCGAGGCATGTCGATATGGAAAAACAATACCTCTAGAACACCCGTTGGATAGATGAAACGGATCACAGAATAGTCTAGCCCTCTACCAAAAAAGCCGTTATAAAATGACGATCGACCAACCCCCCACACCGCACAGTCTACATAACGCTCATCCTCAACGACATCTACCGGTGGCTGTCCCTTAACAAATCTCCCCCCTCTCTCTCCCCCCTCCAAGTACCCCCATCACCCATTTCCATAAAAGAAAAACAAAAGACACATCAATAAACCCCAAAAATATATTTCTTATCCTCCAAAAAAAGCTTTCTTATAGTCGCAAATCATAACACCGACATTATTACACAAAGAAAACTATCGGACACTGACCACCCCACGCCCCGTGAGCTACTAAGTAGGCTAAGTAACTACGTATATACTGTTACCAACAAAGCTAAGCCCTACGTATATAAACAACCAACGGTTGAATCCAACGCTTGAATTCCTGGTAACAATCGTAAGAAGAAAAACCGGGTTATTCAACGGGCCACGTTGTAATAACAACAACAACAACAAAAAGGGTGCAATTAAGTTGTAACTGCTTCAACAAACAAGCTCAATGTAGCCATTATTGTTAGATGGATGCGAACTCAGCACTCTTTTCTTTTTTTTTTGGCTTGCTAATAGTCCCCGGGTTTCCCGTGAGGTAAGGTATTTGTGTAAAGCTAAACGTAAAGTGTGTAAAAAAAAGAAAGAAAAGAAAAGAAGAGAAAAAAAAAAGGAAGAAGAAAAAAATAGCATATTTTCGGAAGTAAAAAATTCATATTAACATACGATGGGAGGGAAGGAGGGCACGTGCGGAAATCAGGTGAGCTTTTTCTCTCTCTCTCTCTCTCTCTCTCTCTCTCTCTCGTACGATATATACATGAGGTTTACGTGAAACTCTAGAAGCTCCGAATTTCTTCGGTATATCGGACGCTTGCGGCCCCCCTTCCGCGCGGCTAAATCTGTGGTGAGGGAGGGGGATATTCAATGGGGTGGTTTCAGAATGGCGTGTCCTCGTGGTGCGATTGCTTTCGTGGGGGTTCGTTTTTTTTTCTTTCTTTCAGGATAGCGGGGGTTGGGGTTGAGGGTTCGTTTGTGAGAAAGAGGTTTGGAGCGTGTGTAGTTTTATGAATAGAGGGACATCCATAGAGGAAGGCTTTGGGTATGGGAAAGCAAAGGAATGGTGGGGGAGCATTTTGTACTACGTGCAACACCTGCCTCAAGATCACGCAGTCAAATCAAGCTTTGTACCGAGCTTCCTTCCAATCAGCGGGAGGGACAGGGAAAAGGGCACGTCACTGGCGCGTGGGCGGCTCTGACTCGTATGATCTCAACGCTCAGGGAGAAAAGAACGGGTGGTATGTGAGTACATGCCTCATCCACGCTGGCGGAATCACCCAAGCACAGTGACCACGCACAGGGGGATACCATGTGTGATGCACAAAGTGGATCCTACTATCCATATGTACCGACGTTACGCCTCTCCCGTCACGGCGGAAGATCGCCTCAGGGTTTTAGCGGAGCAAACAAAGCATTCATGCGGGAAGGGGGAGGGGGGGCCCATGGAGTTGAGACAAGACAAGCCCAAGGGTAGTCACCTCACCTCGCCGAGGGCTGGGCTAGGGAAGGGGGGACAGCAGCTGGTCTATGCAAGACGATCACAGGACTAGAGGACTACTCAGAAACCGGTCGGAGCTGAGATGTGCTAGTAATAAGTATATTAGCCTATCCGTTCTGTCGGAGTGGATTCACCCGAGTCCGGTAGCGGGAACAGGCTAAAGACCGCCCGAACGGGGGGTTTTTTTCTTGCTTCGATCTTCGCATGCCCCTTCCTGGGGGGTTCTGCAGGGCGCCACGTTGTGGGGAGACACTAAAAGGGCTTGCCCTAGCATGGATCTGACAGATCCGGCGATCGCTCAAACCTGGTCGTCGAAGTGGAGTCCATTCACGCGTGGGTCAGTGCGACCGGGAAATATGCCATGATACACTGCACCATGCCGCCGATCTGGGGGTTACATTTAAACAGTAATTGCGTGTTTCATGGCTGGGAGTCAGGCAGGGATGAGTAGAAGCAAGGAGGCCACTCGGGCGGTAGTGGAAGTTCTGCTCAAATGAACAGTGCAGTACGGATTTTACTAAATACCAGCGCGATCTACTTTAGCGACCAGATGCCGTTTTCTTCAATGATATCGATAGGACGGTTTTCATCCAGAGATCTTCGGCCAGCCTCTAGAATGGCTGTTGTCGCAATGGTGTTCTTCAAAGTTGGTAGTGGCCGCGCGTCCAATTCTTCGAGAGTGATTTCACCCGCGTTGAGCTTGTTGACGGCATCAATGAACTTTTCAAATGAGATGTATCCGTAGCCAATTTGGCCTGCAAAGTTGCCCTCTTCATCAGGGGCGTACTTCATGTAGAATCTGTAGCTAGTCAATACACGAATCGGGGGTTTCTCTGTTTTCACTCAAACTTACGGGTTATACCACAGCAAGCCAGTCTCGTCATCAGTGACGTCGTAACCGCGCTTAGCCTGGTTGACGCGAATTTCTCCGGTGGATGCCATGTAATGGAAATACTGATTTGAGTGTACACCTGCTTTTTGCGGTGCTGCCCAGCCAGCTGTGTAGACACCGGTTCCGACTTTGCTGGGGTCATCCTTCTTCACCCAGTTAGTGAGCAATGTGATGGTGTCTTCGGTAGCGGGATCGCAGCCCAGGCCGGTGGCGATCCCCTTTGCTGCACTCGCCATGACGCGTACTGGTTTCCAACCAGGAATCATGGACTCGTTGATGTCGATGTGGTGAGAGTTGAGGTAGTAGGAAATGTCAGAATCCACACCGGCCCATGCTTTGAAAGTCTCTAGCTGGCTCCTGGGGGTTTCATTAGATACTGCTTACATTCTGCGGCAAACCGAGAAATCAAGGCGGAAAAGAAACATACTTTGGCTGGCTCATGTACGAGTAAAAGTAGTTGAAATCGCCCAACTTCTGCGCCCTGAAGCGCGCATCAGCGTACGCAGGGTCGTATCGCTTGTGGTGCTCAATGTACACGAATACATTGTGCTTCTTTGCTTCCTCGAGGAGTTTTTGATGATGTTCTAGCAACTTGACTGCGGGCTTTGTGATGAGAACGTGGATTCCGCGCTCAATGGCGTAAAGTGCAATGGGGTAGTGAGTGGTGTCGGGCGTAAAGATTGTAACTAACCGACGTCAGCGTTATTGCAGGGGTAGTTTTACTATCAACTCGCAACTTACTCGCACTGCCTTTTGGAAGCGCATCAATCGCCGCCTTGTAGGCATTTGGGTCCGTCTTGCCCTCTTTTGGAAACTCCTCAAAAGACACATCCAGATTGTTGTATGCCTCAGAAATGTTCTTTTGCAGATGTTCACCTGACGTCAAATCAGCGCCTTGCATATGGGGGCATTTGCAGTCTGGGGCAGCATTTGTTACTCACGGATTGCAGGAAATTTGCCGCCGGATGTACCGACCATGGAAAGTTTGCCCACTTTGCCCCGTCTTCGGAGGTCAAACAGTGTCAAACCTACGACACCAACCTTTTTGTCAGACTTTGAGGCGCCGCCTCCAACGAACCCGGTCGTGTACTCTCCAGTACCGACCTAGACAATGCATTAGTGTATAGTTTCGCTAAATTGATTGCGCTCATACGAAAGTGCTTGAGGGGGCGACGAATAAAGCCGCATGCAGCTTTCAGTATTGCATGACATGTCACGAGCTCGACAGCAAGGCATGATGGGGTAAGAGGGAAAAGGAGGAGAAAAAAATGTGTTATCGACAAAGGACTAGTAAAACTTACCATGAGAACTTCTACCGGCGCCATGATGAATGTCTATTCTGGTGGTGAAACGGATAGTCCGACCAGGTAATTGTGAGCAACTCCGGCAATTTCAGCAATGCCAGTTGTTCCAGGGATTCGAGAGAGGAGAAATAAAAGGGGGACCAGCTGAGGGCTTAATTTGAAGAGCTGTCTGTAACCAATACCCGATACATAGCCTCGTCGGCGTTTGAATGCATGTCTAGATGGCGGAAGATATATCGCCAAGCAGCGCGATGAGGGGCACGAGGGGCACGAGGGGCGCGCGTGTGTTGTGGGCACAGCCGCGGCCGGATGACGTTAGAGCATGCTGCTGTTCGTGGGGCTGAATGCGCTGTGCTGTATGGATGAAAAAAGAGGAGGCCCTGCAACGGCGGGTTTTCTTTGGCTGCTTGTGCGTAATGCTATATGATGGAGTCTCGTCGGACAAATAGAATCCGCGTCAGCCCACAAGCATTGGGCTGGCTGGGTGTCAGCGGAGAGAGAGGGATTATGTTGTATAGGTCGTATGTTTGTGTGGTACCGGTAGAGCTCCGAGGGTGGTGGTGGTGGGGAGGGGGGCCTTGCAAAGTTTCCCCAGGGCCAAGGATGAAACCCCCACGTTGACCACGACAGCCGCCATTGGTGGAAGAACATCAATGTAGCATTTACAGGGCAGACGTCGGGGGACGGCGAGACTGCGTCTGGCATGCCACCTTGTCTTGAGCTGCAGCATGTTTCCATCCGACAGCCGCCGTGTTAGTCACTACTGTACAAATGGCCGCAACTCTGTTCCCGCCCTTCGCGCTCATGTAGCCCGAGAGCCGTCAGATGGCCCACCGCGTTGCCCCCCCGGAGTCTGATGCTGTCACTGCCACAGGCGAATCGAGGACGCGCAATCAGCGAGATATTGACCACGGTACCACGATTAGGCTCTGCCGCACTTAGCTCTTCTGGCCTCTAATGCACCGACTGTCTCCATCTCGCTGTAGTATTAAAGCTGACCTGACCCGTGCTCCGGCCATGGCGGCTGCTAGTCTTTTTGTCCATCCAAACCTTGTATTGCTATCCATCCATTACCGTCTATAAGTATATGTACATATACACATATATACACATATATACCCCTCTCTTCTCCTTTGCCGTTTACGTGCATCCTGATTTGATTTGCCCATTGTAGCAATCATGGCATCCAACGGTAGCGGCACCAATGGCCACACCAAGCAACGCACGCCTCTCCGGCCAGGCATCTACTCGCCTACCATGACTTTTTTCAACCCAGAAACCGAGGAGCTAGACATTCCAGTTATCAAGAAGCACGCAGTACGACTTGCCGAGGCTGGCCTCGTCGGTCTGGTCACCATGGGATCAAACGGAGAGGCCGTGCACCTCTCGCGAGCCGAGAAGACTGCAGTCACTCGAGCCACACGTGAGGCTCTCGACGAGGCTGGCTACCAAAACGTGCCCGTCATCGTAGGCGCATCCGAGCACGGTATCCAGCTCACCATTGAGCTGTGCAAGGAGGCCGAGGCCGCCGGCGGCGAATATGCCCTCATTCTGCCCCCCAGCTACTACCGCTACGCCATTGACGAAGACGCCATCTACGAGTACTTTACCAAAGTAGCAGACGGCTCCCCAATTCCCATTATGCTATACAACTACCCAGGTGCCGTGGCCGGCATCGACATGGACAGCGATCTCCTCATCAAGCTAGCTAAGCACCCCAACATTGTCGGCACAAAGTTCACCTGCGGCAACACAGGCAAGCTCACACGCGTGGCTCTGGCCACCAATGCTTGCACAGCCAAGTCCAGCCCCGGTGGCTACATGGCCTTTGGCGGCATGGCCGATTTCACCGCCCAAACCGCTGCCAGCGGCGGCTCAGGCATCATCGCCGGCGGCGCAAACGTTATCCCCAAGACGTGTGTCAAGGTGTGGAATCTCTGTGCACAAGGCAAGTACGAGGAAGCCTTTGAGCTGCAAAAAGTACTCAGCAAGGGCGACTGGGTCCTGACCAAATCCGCTATCCCGGGAACAAAGTCGGCCATTCAGTCATATTACGGCTACGGCGGTTACCCTCGCAAGCCGCTCAAGAGGCTGTCACAGGAAAAGGTTGATGCTGTTGCCGAGGGAATCAAGGAGGTCATGGAGGTGGAGAAGAGTTTATAGTCTAGTTGTTCTGGGAGATGAAAAGAAAAAAATATATATCCTTTTTTGTTTGGTTGTTACGTTCATGGTAGTCCCCACCCCTCCCCCCCTTCTTGCATGTCCTTTTTTTTTGCTAACCTGAAGATGCAACACACTACATACACCGGAACCCAGCCAAACTAGCGTCACACAACTTGTGCGTGATATTAAGAGGGAGAAAAAAAAGGGAGACAGTCGCACCTTCACTACTATTAGACCCTGAAACGGCGCCGGAAATACCCACTAGTTTCCTTTCTTTTTATTTCTTTTATCTGGCTATTCTGTCCACGGGCGCTTTTCCATGGCACATTTTCGCTGCTCATCAGTGAACTAAAAATTAACACTGTCTCCTCTGGTCGACACTACGTCGGCGCCTTGACCCGATGCAGAAGCTGCACCGACCGCGCTAAGGAGCATCTTCTGAGTGTCCTCCCTTCGCTGGCTAGCCTCAGACCCTGATTCATGACACCACACCCCCATGTAACCCACTCAGCGCATATCTGGGGGAAACGGCCGTAACGCTGTGTTTCGCTTCCTTCTTCCCTTCTCATTGGCTTACTATGATCGGTGGACACAAAGCAACGGGTGGTGGTACAACAAAGGTAATCGAGATCAGAAAAAAAAAAGTCAAAATACGAGGCATCGATACCCGCTTGCTTTGCTTGATTGCATTGTTCCCGAATAGCTTCAAGGAATAGAGAAGAAAGAATAGAAAAAACATTACAAAGCAAAAGGTTTTGAATGTACAAGTCGAGTCGTGATGAAGCGAAGCGCGCCTTTTTTTAGTTTTCCGTGCCATCGTAACCCCGCGCAGTTTCCCCCACATAGTCGTAATCGTACAAATCCCTGGGTAATAATAGTGTTTTAGCCAAACCAGAATCCGTCCAGTTTGCTCCCTGACGCCGAAAATTCACTTGCTTAATGCAACCCAATCCCATCTAAATTGCTAGGCCGTTGCCTAAACTGGTCCATCGATATAGCGAGAGCACCTCTCTCCGTTTGGCTGGTGTCATCTCCCTCGCATGGCCATGGCCCTTGATTTGAGCCAATGTGGATATCATAACTTTCCGGAAGTTACGCTGTGCCAAGTCAGTACCCTGCAGATTCGACTAATTATGCAAATAGCTCACCTGATACTCCGTGTTGAGCGTCACCACAGCGGCTTCGTGCGCCCGTACAATTGTTTCGCAGGCACGAATCACATTCTCGTTGGTCTCAGTCGACAGCTTGTCAGCCAAGAGCAGCAGAATCAAGCTTCCTTGAAGCAGATACTGTTGATTGGTTAGCCAGATTTCCCACAAAAACAATGCAACAAGATTAGGGCTGGCTGTCTCTGGAAACTGCCAAACCCCATCAAATTAACACGGAGTCTCACTTACCATGCCGAACAAGTAGGGCATGAAGGATAGGTCCGGATCAACATCCAGAATCACGTCGACTGCATGGGCCGCTGTGATGGCATTCGAAGTCGCGGCGAGGAAAGACGGTGAGCACACCCACATGTTGTCGTCTTCCAAAAGCGCTACTGGATCCCATTTGCCGTGCAACAGAATATGGAGCACGTGCATGATGTGCGTGGCATATGCGGCAACCTTTTTTGTTTGGTGAATCCATTCTGCTCGAACCGGATCCGGTGTAGTGTTTGGTTGTGCTTCCTCATTCGGGCCGCAGCCGTATTGCGCTTTGAACTCCTCAATGCTGTACGCGTATCGCTCCAATTGGCGGGTAATTTCCGCCTCATGAAGTTCCCAAGATGACCGCTGACCGAATCTGGGGTGGTTCTTTTGCGCGTTCAAATCTACAATGTCGCCAAGGATTGTCATCAGCGGCAGGAAGAAGCCAAAAACATCGTGTCTGCATCACGTCAGTACGGCTCAAATGACAAATTACCGAAATGAGACGTCGCAAATGTCTCGGGCAAGGGGACTGTACGTACGATGTGCACTGGAAGTTGAGCCCTCGCTTCCGTGGTCCTGCGTGTCCAGTGTAGAATTCGCCCTGTTGCCAAAGAGTGTCGGGAACTGGTTGAAATAGATCCTCGCACTCATTGTCGAGCATGGCCAACGGGCGGTTGTAGCAGAGTCCAAGATGTCGATCGACCATGTAAAGCAGCCACCACAGCCGCCGCCTCTCCTCTTTCATTTCTTCGATGATGGCTGCAGCTGGAGTACCTGCAGGTGCTTGAGCACCGGTGCCGTCTGTTACGCCAATATCAACTTCTCCGTCAGTCGCGTTTCCTTCGTGTTCTTTAGACGGCTTTTGAGACAGTTCTCGGCCCAGCTTTAGCTCCCTAGCCAGCGACCACGCCGCATTCCACCATCTCAAAGAAGCCGCCTTGTACTCGCTTGCTGAAGTAACCACTCCGAGGTTGATATACGTAGCAACGTCGTCCAGTGTGCTGGTGGGTGGCAATGCTCCGTCAGCTCTTCCGTCATACCTTCCTATTACCCGATCCACGCCAAAAGCGTCGTGAGCAGCAGATGTGATGCCAGGTCCAGGGGTGAAGCCGTGCGAGGATGGAGAATGGACCAGGGGTTTCAACAGTTCAACGGTCAATTTCCACAGTTTTTGGCTAATGATGGCTCTTGCTGAAGGTGATGACGTGAGATAACTGGCCTCGCTGGTTTGAGCGGCAACCCAGAGCATGCTGGCCAGCAGGGCTGGACTGCATCGCCTTGGGTTATGTTGGCGCAAAAAGCTCCGTTTCCTAAAGACGGATCCGAGAATGTATGGTGAGACGGGCTCCATGAAGACGGACGAAGAGCTCTGGAAGTAGAATTCGAGAAGATCGCAAGCGGTGGGAATGTTCATGATGCTACCAAGATGTGGTAGTAGCGGCTTCAGTACAGGGTATCTGCAAGAAAGCATGGGGCCGCTGTGCTGTGATGAGTTTGCGCTAACACCTGACTGTGGTGATCCAGTGTCTGCGGAGCCATAGCTGTGAGGTGAGGATTGGCGTGCAGCTTGTTGGTAGTGCATGTGGTAGGCCATGTTTGCGTATTCAGTGGGGATGGATACTGGAGTGCCATTGGAGCCGGGTATGAGGTGGATGCCTGCTACCTGTCAGCAAATCCAAGCCAATGCAGAGTACTTCGCATGCATGTGCGCAGTACTCGAGGCTTGGTCGTTCAACGTACCATTCATGGCATACATGAGCTCCTCGCGCGGCATCTCAGCGTGCATTGGGGGGTAGGCGGCACCTGATCCAAGGAGCAAAGGGTCGATCATCATATGGTTGACGGGAGGGTCAAAAGCGGCACCAGAATTCAAAGCCTGCCAGTCACCTGTGGGTAAGCCAGTCTTGGTAGATGGGAAATGCTGTACGACGGGCGTGGCTTCTGATTGCGACCATACATCTTCTTCCATTTCGTTCATGACGTTTGGCCTCTCAAAGTAACCGTTAATTCCATTTGGCGTCTGTGGGCTACCACCACCGCCGCCGCCACCTGCAGCGGCCTCTTCTCTTTGCTTCTGGATGTGTCGCGGGACCTAGGGAGGGTAAGTTTGGGAATGCATGGATGGGGTAGGTAGGCAGGCGTGGGGGTGTGGTTACGCTTACTTTTCCTCTGCGTTTCTTTTCACGGTTGTACTGGCAAACATATTCAAGTTCTATGCAGCGCGAGCATGGTGCCTGGCCGTTACACCGTGTGCGCATACGGTGGCAATGGTCGCATGCGCGGCTTACTCTGCGCTTGACTGGTGCTGAGCCTCTTCGCTCAATCTTTGCGGCATCCTGTGCTGGTGCTGGTGCTGTTGTTGTGGACTCCATGTCTGTGAAGGGTCAATCAAGTTGAGAGACGTGAGTCCAAGTGGGTGCCCTTTTTTTGTTGGTTGCTAGAAGGGGTGGTGAGCAATTGGAAGAGGTCAAGGTGGCAAGGGCACGGAGGCGGACGCACTGAGGCAGAATTGTTGGTGGCGGCCTCGATGAAGAGGCTCGAGAAAGTTAGGAGAGAAGCAAAACGGGAGTGACGTCGGGGGAGAACAGTCGAGGAGGAAGGAATCGGCAGCGGTAAATCTGGGGACAAGCGCGGGTCATGGGATACTTGGGGAGCATATGTGGGCCTGGGACAAAGGTATAGTGGTGCTAACTAGGTGCCGAGGAGACAGGCGGGCCAGGACGAGGGCTGCAGCGACGGTTTTGCAGGGTCAGTGTGACGATCTGTGGCTTGAAGATTCCATGCGTCCACGCGGGCTTCGAGAAGCGAAGTCTGGTGTGTAGCAATATCAAAAGGTGGAATGTTTAATTCCAACACCCATGCATGGATGTACGAGGGGCGGCCCATTGGCTACGGCAACCAGGCTCTGGGGCAGCTCGTGGCAGGCATCACGACACGGCTGGCAGGGGGACCGTTGGCGGCGCAAGAGGGCGCCATTGGAACGGGTAAAACGACTTTAGCCGGTGGGTGCTCACCTCACAGCGAGGGCAAAAAGCGGGGCTGCACCACCACCGACGACCAAGACTCGACTAACAGCAGACTAGCCGGCGCGCACACTCAGACTGGCAGACTACTGACTACTGCGGACGAGTGTGCGTACGGTAGCTACTTAGTGCTAGGCAAGTGAGCATTGCTGCCGGCGTGTACATACAACATGTACTTACTTGGATGTTGCTATTCCAGTCTGGCCGTATCCATGTCCCTGTCCATGCCCCCCCATGCCCATGTCCATGTCCATGGCACACTGCCACTGCCACTTGCACTCACTCATACTGACGCTAGGTACTCGAGGATAGACGCCAGACAGTTCACGCCTAGCGCCTTCCCTTGGTCCATTGCTCGCTGGTCGCTGCTTCCTCCTGGAACGTCGACGACGACTCACCGCACGTCAGCATTGCCGCCCATGCCTGCCTGCCTGCTGCCTGTTCCTGCGGCCTTCTCCAGCTTGTGGCTTGTCGCGCCTGACCATGACAAACGCTGCCGCGGGGCCGAGTCTGTGTCTCTTTCCTTCTCTCTTGCGCAACTGCCCCAGCCCCAGCCCCAGCCCCAGCACCGTCTGAGCCATTGTATATACGGTAAGTACGGGGGGAAAGTAAATACACTACGTAGGTACATGCCATCTCCACCGCCACCCCTCTCCTCGCCTCGCCTCGCCTCGGCCAATACCAAGTACACATGCACACGCTCCACTGTCTATTGCCCGTTGCCCGCTGCCCGCTGCTGGCTCGACCATGTACATCCATCCATCCATCCATCCATCCATCCTACTTCCTTTCTCGTCCTGTTTCTGCTGCTGTGCCCTGCCACTGAAACCCCCCTCGCCGTGTTGTTTCATGCCCACTACTTAGTAGATAACCATAATGCTCCTGCTGTTGCTGTTGCTCCGTCGCGGCCCCCGCCCACCATCACACGTCACAACGTCAAAACATGCCACATGAAACCCAATGCCGACGGCGAACTCCTCGTGGCCGGCGCTGCCTTTGCGCACCCGCCCGCGAAGCCACCCCCGGCAAAGGCCTCGAACTCACGAGCATGTGCATGCTCGAGTCCTCGTCGTACCCACATGGCTCGGCCTAGCCTGCGACGACGTGGTTTCCGGCCTGCTTGTGCTCACTACTTGGGTGTAGACTCGACTACCGCACATCAGCACCAGCACTGTGACTGCACACCAGCACCAGCACAGTCCGGCTATTGCGCTGGGTCAAGCCTGTCGACCATGTACCCTATTCACACTGCCGGGTCCTGGCCACGCCCTCGTGCCCGCTCATTGTCCAGTGCCACCGCCGCTGATGCTCCCGCCCTGCACCACCGCGCACAAGCACACGCCGAGGGGCTCGGGCGGCGTTTCTGGCAAGCTAAGCGAGCCCACCATGCCTGCAACCCCGACTCCGACATGTCCTCTTCGGCCAACATCACCATTTCCTCCGTCCAAATGTGGAACACCACGCATTGCCCGTATTATTATCAAACCTGCCCACGGCCCTGCTCGCCCTTCCAGATGCAATGGCGAACGGTTCAGCTGATGGCCGTCCACTCCGTCCCCAGCACATATAAGTGGACCGCGGTGGATCTGCACGACAGCATGCCACCGGCGGGTCCGCTTATTACTTCCCACGGGGGAGGGGACAGCCTGGCTTTTCTCGCCCTTGGTGTCCCAGGCACACTCCCATCCACGCATCCCACACACATCATACCAAACCCCTTCCTTCACATAACTCGCTCGTATTAATCTTGCACTCGTCTCATTTCTCCATTTGCTGCATTCCACCACAATTCTCTGCAGCATGCTGTTTCAGCCACTTGCTAGCGCCCGCATGCGAGCACCTCTCTACCAAGACGAGGCCGCTCCCCGAAGCAGAGGCATGTCATTATCGTGCTCCTCCGTGCTGTGATCGCCGCAATTTCTGTCCATGCAATCTCGTGCATGGAGATGAGAGTGCAATCGCCGGCCCGTTGAACGTGCTTGTGCACCCAGTCCTGCCTGCCTGGCCGATAGACGTTGAAATTGCTTCTTTCTGAAAGACTCCGAATGGACAACTGCCCAACACGCCCACCTCCCGCTTTGGCACCAGCCCACACACGGCCAGGACGGGATCCACAACGGCCGTACCTCCACACTTGGGTCTGAACAGTGTGACCTTCGCCGGGCTCCTGCATGTAAGCGACAACGTCTCGAGCAAATCACACCACGACTTATCTCTCGTCAACGCTGCCCACTCCACTTCAGATTGCACGCTGGGCCACTGCAGCCAACGCAAAAGAGGCCACAAACCCATGGCAATCTGGCCACACAGCTCATACAGCTTTTTTCATCGACCTGCTGTATTGGTTGCAAGCCAGAAAATGACCCACGCGCTCCCTTGTAGATTACCTGACCGCTCATCGCCTAGACGCCCCCACAAGGCTGCTGCCATGCACTGCGCACTACCCTACACCTACAGTGACGCCAAAGCACATGTTCGCAGAGTTTTGTAAAGAAGATGCCCGTGTCCAATTTGATTTATTTTTTTTCTTTGACGGGCCCTTGCCACGCGCTACATCAAGGTGCTTAGGTACGGTACACATACTACAAGTCCCGTATATTAAGGGTCCAACCATAAGCCACTTGATCATCAGCGATATAAAAGGACTTGAGCCACACCTCGGTACATGGCCGCAGGGCAGCAGGGCAGCAGGGCAGCAGGGTAGCAGTGCAATGCAATCCTCCGGCATAACCTCACTGGCGAGATGGCGTCGCCTTCTGCCCGCCCTCGTGTGTTACTTTTTTTTCCATGCACCCCGGATTCTCCCACCAGTGAAACCCGGGAATACGAAGGTGCACCAAGATCTTGGGATGAGGGGCAAGCGTCAGTGTCAGCGTCGGATTTCGGATCAGTGGATGGTGTGTGCCCGTGCTACAGAACCACGCTGGCACTGGCGAGAGCCCTGTGTGCCCTGTCCCGCCAACCCTTTTTTGCATCATCATCATTCAATTGATTTGACTTTGATTTGGCTAGTAGGGTAATATTAACCGTCGCCATCGAGGCTGATGCAGTAACACGCTCGATTGGTGGGGTGGGCGCCGCGTACCGCAGCGGCTGTGCCATTGCAAAATAGCCGTAGTCCAATTGCTACGGCTCCACACCCTCACGGCTGGGAAACCAAGATCTTCCCCCCAGTCCCGCCGTCGAGGGTTAGGCGGGAGCCCAACCAGCGAATCGTCACTTGTTGCTACCGCCGCGTCGCATGAGCGGCTCGCACGATCATGCATCATCGACTATTAATGCGGGGGCGAGTATTGACCTGGGGTAAAGAGCTGTCGACAGCTGCCGCTGCCGCTGCAGCTGGTGGTGGTGATGATGGTGGTGGTGGGTGGGTGTGCATGCTGACTGACGGACCCAGACAGGTGTTGACGCCAGCTTGACAACGGACAGACATGGACACCAGATTGTTTGATGAACGGGAGTGGGTGGGGCAAGAAGCATTGGCACTGGCACTGGCACTGGCACTCACACTCTGGTCTGTCTGGCAGTTGCGACTCGACACACACACTGCCCTAGCCTGCGTGCCTGCCCTGCTGATGAGGTGCATGCCCAATATGGATGATGATGCAGGTGCTCTGAGCGTCCCTGGACTAAAACACACCGTCTTCTCCTCTCGCCCTTTTGTCAAACTCGTCAGACGCCCTTCATGGCTCTTCGCCGGCCACATCTCACGAGACCCTCATTGACCTTTGTTTTTCCCGTTACAAGGCAAGTTAACCACTGCAGTTCCGACCGACTGACCCCCGTCACCCAAAGAGTCTAATGCAAGTTTCGGGATGTTGCAAGCCCGCCTGCATGGTGCACACAGCACACAAGCATCCGTCTGCGTCTGTTCATCTTGGCGACCCTGTTCCCCCAACGCGCCCCAACGCTTGTCGCCACCCCTCAACCCGTTTCATACAAATGAGGCGTAACGCGAATGACAAGAATCGGTGCGTCTGCGGCAATACACGCCATGGTTCGCGGCGCTACTTTGACTGCTGCTGTTTGCACAGCTGGCTCTGGCTGGGAGCTAGCATCGTGCCGACATAGCGTGATATCTTTGGCTGTCCATCCCTGTTGCATAATCTGAGCGTGGCGAGCTCATCCAGTCCCAAGGGTACCTACTAACCTTACCCCTGACATGCAATGAATTACGCAACGCTACAATATGGCAAGTACATTCCGAGGTTCACCACTACCGCTGTCGCTTCCTTTTCTCCATTCACACAAGTCACGCCCCTGCCACAATTTCGCGGCTTACGCCCAACCCAGACTAGCCGGCTTCTCTCGCCAGCCACACTCATGGCGTAGCGACAGGATGAAACATCCATCTATCGAATATGTTCGTCCGTATATATTCTGCCAAGAGGGTGCAAGGAGTTTCACGATCACCATAGACTAGATCGGATCGCCCTGCCCTGCCCACATCGGAATACCCTTGTTTCTGAAGCCGATCTAGAATTCCGCAAACAGGACTTTACCGACTCTAGAAGCATACCCATTTACGAATAGCAGCTCCCCAAGTCTCAGGTCAGCCGAGACAATCTTCCCCAAGCCTGGGACTTGGTTGACCGAGAGAAGGTCTGCGTGACTCACGATGCCACGGCACATGACAGTTTTTTTTTCGTCCTTATCCTTTTCTTTTCTCATCTTCTTCCTCTCCTTCTCAGGTGCTGACTGACAAAAAGGGAGGGTGTCAGGGATCGCATTCGTAGTTGCGAATGAGTGTCACACAACACATACACACATCTCAATATGAAGGACACTAGTAAGCAGTAGAAATCCCCAGATCCGGGATATTACCATGTCGGCTGCATCTAGTCAGAAACTTGACGCTACTAAGAACAGCATCTCCACATCTTGTTTACATACAATTAAGAATGCTTGCTCTTAGAGGAACTGTTATCAGCTGCGGACTAAAAGTCTACGCGCGACCTACTCTACTTTTGCTTCTCGGCGTCTTCCTTCATGCCGGCCTGGACCCACGCCCGACTCTTAGCAGCCTGCTCCTCCATCTTGGCCTTATCCTTGAGCAACTCCCTCATCCTGTGAGGATCAGGGACGTGGCGGCCTTTCTCCACCCCCTCACGTGCTTCCATTCGGTCCAGCCAGGCCTGAACGGCAGGGAACTTGTCCAGGTCGACGCCTGCCCAGCCGGCAGCCGCTCCCCATCCATAGTGAGCAATGTCTAAGGTTTGGTTAGATGAAGGGATGTGAGAAATTAGGTGAGATAAAGAGTGTGTGTGTGCCTTGGGAATGAATAATGGAGGTAGTAATAATCTCGGGGACGGACGGGGAAGGGGCTTGCCGGCTTATTGCATTTCGGTGGGTTGCGGGAGAGCCCCATCCGCCGCATACATAAGGTTTTGCAACAAACCAGTTTCATTTTCTTTTCTCAACCACCATCGAATGATTGATGATGGGGAGACAGGAGCAACAAAACGGCTATGCGTTGGGCAGAGGGGAATGGGAGGGGGAAAGTGCAGGGTGCGCCCATGTTTGAACACATGGATTGGGTAAGCAACAGGATTGCCAACGCTACTCACCGGCAATGGTGCACTTTGTGCCGCACAGGTATGGCCTATTGTCCGAAGCGAGATGCTTGTCGAGGACAGAGTAGAGACGGCGTGTCTCGGTTTGGTACCTATTCACACCATACTAAATCCATGGAGAAACACAAACGTGTCAGCACTCTTTTCCTACTTTCATACGTGTATGCATGACGCAAAAGGCTGCCTGATTTGCTTACCTCGATATGCTCGGGGGCATAACGCGTGAAATGATCTGTTCAACGGAAATTTCTGTTAGCCTTGACCCATTTCCCTTTCTTTTTTTTTTCAATGCGCCTTTTTGCTCTATTGCCCCTCTCTTGACAGCCCCTCTAAACCCTTTTGTAGGTAACGTAGATCACAAGGCGGCTCGAGGATCTTTGCCTCTGTTTGGCAGTTTCCCCGCCTCGGTTCACTCCCCCCACATCCCGAGGTCAGATTGATTGAGTGATGGCGGGAGCCCACCTCAATCAAACCCAACCCGCCTAACGCGCAACTGCGTCGCCATCATGTTGCTTAGGGATCGCTAACAGAAAATGATGACCCCTCCCTTTCCCCCCTTTTGGCTAAGCCCTGCCTTCTGGCCTAATCGTTGGTCCCCCTCATTCGCGTACACCCCCTCTCTTACAAAGATCTTGATAATCACATCAAATTCCGAACCCCCTCAGCCAACTCAACACCCTTCCCCCTCCCCCTCCCCCACGAGAACAAACTTGAAAAAAAAGAAATGTTGTTAAAAAGCTTAAAGAAAAGAACGAAAGAAAAGAGAGACTTACTAGCCTGTCCCTGCATAGGTCCCACACCAGCATTCTGGAAAAACAACCAGTTGTTCATTTCGAACCACTCGCGCGAGCCCTTGGGGAAACTAATCTTGTGCTCGGTGTCGTAGCGCTCGACGAGGTACTGCATGATGCTGCCGGACTCGAAGAGGTTGATGGGTTTGCCGTCGGTGAAGGTGTCGGTTAGGGCGGGGATGCGGCCGTTGGGGTTGATAGCGAGGAACTTGGGTGGTTATTGTTGGGATGATGATGATGATGATGTTTTTTTTTCTCGTTTTTTAGACGGAGAAGGATATATATATGTATATAATCCAGAGAATTGGGATGGGCTTACCCAGTCTTCTTTTTGGGTGTTTTTGGATATATCGATCTTGTGGACTTTGTAGGGGAGGCTGGGTGAGGGTTAGTTATTCTGATGTTTTTCTTCTTCTTCTTGAGTGGTATGTGATGGGGTTGTTCGATACGAAGTGCTCTCTATGTCCAAGAGTATGGAGATGATAGAATATGTGTGTGATGATGCCATCTTGTACTAGAGGTTGGGCTAAGTGTAGGGAAGGTGACAAGATTGAAGGAATATTCTGAAAGCAATATACCAGCATCGTATAAGAAATCTGAGCAAATGGCGATTGCATCTCGCTACTCATCGTGAGGCTCTAAATATCTTCTTGTGTTTCTCGAGATGAAGTGACACGATGCCAAGTGTCCTGTTTGTGGATGTATACGATCAAAAAGAGAGAGACAAGGTCATACGACAACAAAGGATAACAAACAGAACTGATTTAGATGACATGACATAACAACATAGGGAGATATATTCGTAAAAACAAAATACACTCACCCCAGCTCCTCCAAGGTAATGGAGATCTTGATGCCATTCGGCGTCTGCGTCGTATAAAGCGTGATATCAGATTGCTGTGACATATTTGCGGTTGCCCAAAAAAAAGCGTAAGTCCCTAGTGTTTGAAAACAATAAAAAGTTTCGAACGTTTCTTCTTTGCTTAAATGCGACAATGAAACGTAGATGGCACGTTTTATGAGGATCAAGCGCGCTGTTTAATGCTGGCAAAGTGGGGTTCAATGAGGGGCACACAAGTATGACGAATTTTCTTGTTTTTGCTTTGGGGGGAAACACCGCCGACACTAGGGTCTTTGAAGGTATCTGGTACTCGGGCTTGGAGCTAGTAATGAGGCCGCTTTGCGTAGGTTGCGAGCTTGTTAAAGTACTATTAATGCGCGCACGTTTTGATGGGGGGGGGGGGGGCGGTGTACTTATTAGGTACCTTGCTGCATTGGTTTAGATTGTACGAGTAGACTAATTGCGTGATATGTTTTATCACGGGCGTGCTGGGTAGGAATAGAGTACTGTAATTTTTTTACATCTCGATGTTGGGTAGGGCTCACTTCAGACAGCCAACTTTTTGAGGAACTGATAGTTGTAGGGACGGATTGCTAAGCATTCACATGTGACAAGTATACAAATGAGAAATCTTTTAAAAAACCAAGTCCATAAGAATATAGTAGTAGGCATTGACTTGTAGGTATCTATCCTTAAGCTTTATATTATTGTTTCGATGGATCCGCTTCATCGTCTCGCTTATGGCACTGTCGGGGAAGCTCTAGTGTTGATAATATTTTGGTCTGAGAACAGAGAACGAGCTTTCTATTAGGAACGATTTCTTTCCCGTCACTGGTTGTTGTGGAGATATTCTGAATAAGATCAGATTATCAACATGGGTTATTTCGGGATGATATGTGTTGTGGTATAAGATTGGTTGTTTAGATCTGCCAGAGATCTAGCCTATATAAAGAATAGCAGGGGTATGTTTTTGCAATCAAGGGTATTCCTTGGCCAGTATTATGCTTAAATACTTAACGATAGTCTTAGATAGTTCTTGAATAGCGCGGTAAAGGTATAGAGCACGTATTGTAATATGTAAAGGCATATCAACTGATTATTCTTAAAATGCTGCATCACCCTTGGGCGGGGAAAAAATACCCCGGTTACCTTGTACTATTCACGTTAACATATATCCTAGAGGTATTGTTACATAGGCAGTGACTTCTCCATATGTAGAGAAATGCACTTTCTAGAGCTTGGATGCGAGTCCATGGAGCGGTAAGGGTAAACCAATTTGGTCAATCTAGTGTCGAGCATTGAATAATTCTACAATAGCTAATTTCAAAGCAGTGACTGACTGAAGAGCAAAGTGAGCGGTGGATTGGTAAGCGGAGTGAGTTTTTCAGCTAATCAATGGTGCCTTGATCGAATACGATACGGCATTCGGCTACTAGAAGGCCCGGACTAATTGCGGATAGTTAACTTGAAGATTTATATTAACGCACAGCATGCACCTTAA